TTGCACAAGATGACTTTATGCCGACCATCCTTCCAAACCCATTCAAATGCCCAAGTGAGAAATTTCAAAGTTTTCACTGTGGCGACAATAATTGCTGAATTAAGGCAGAAAAATTGGATACAAAACCTTCACTATTCCTATCTTAAATAATATACAATCGAGATCGTGGTTTATTTGAGTTATCTAATAGTTCAAAAACCCTGCCAAAAGACTAAGAAAAAAAGGCATTCCCCATTGAAATGCTGATGTCTCGCAATTGGACTTTCAAAAAAATGAGTGGAAAACCTAAATCTCGATTAATAGTTTTGAGAGACAGAGTAAAATGACTACCAGAAATATACGTCTTCACAATATCACACAACACTTCAGCAGCCTTTTATGCAATCCATTTATCATAGTGTTGTTGAATCCATCATAAAAATTCTTCAATCACCTACTGAAACACCCATATTAAGTCATTGATCTCAGTAGAGCATCGAAAATTCCTTTCGGAAAGTGAAGTAAGCTTTTCCACACGCTGCATTCTCTTGTCTTTCCATTTTCACCCAATTTCTCAAGATCGCTAAATTTGCAGTTGGCGTTCACGGTGATTGTGTGTCATTTGATGATTGATCGCAAGAAATATGGCTTCACGAAGTGAAATTGACGTTTATACTGAACCAAGTAAATCATCAGCACAATCGGCAAATCCAAGATACACCTATTTTCTGGGCAAGACAATCGGGAAGGGTGAATATGGGACAGTTGTGCATGCCAAAATGTTTGCGAAACACCAGCAAATCCATAAAGTGATGGATCTCGCATGCAAAATCGTTGATCTTAAGACAACACCAACATCTTACGCGGATCACTTTTTCACGCGTGAACTCAAAATTCTGTCTCAAATTCAGCACGCCAACATCATTGAGACAGTCAAGATCTTCAGACAAGACAGTCGCATCTATATTTTCATGAAGTACGCCGAAAATGGTGATTTGCTGGATTATATCAAGAAGAACAATCACTTGACGGAGATTCATGCTCTCCGCTGGTTCCTGCAGATGCTCGAGGCCATTGACTACCTGCACAGTATCGATATTGCCCATCGCGATCTCAAGTGTGAAAATATCTTAATTTCTCGCGCAATGAATGTGAAGATCACGGACTTTGGCTTTGCACGCTACACAATTGCGCCAACAAATGCACTCTCAAAGACCTTCTGCGGCTCTGCCGCCTACGCAGCTCCTGAGGTCATTGTCAATACACCGTACGATCCTAAGAAATCCGACGCCTGGTCCCTGGGAGTGATTCTCTTCATCATGCTCACGGGATCAATGCCCTTCCGGGATGAAAATCTCAGAAGATTGCTCGAAGCTCAGCGTAAGAAGGCATACAAATACGACAAGGAAATATTCCGTGGCATTTCAATGAAGAGCAAAACACTAATTGATAATCTTCTCGAGGTCAATCCCTTCATTCGATGGACAATCAAGCAAACACTCACATTTCAGAAACACTTCTAATTTGTCATAGACTATAGAAAAGAGAAAATTGAAAATAAATTGTCATTTTTAGCCACAAATGCCATCGCAGTGTCACATTTTGGAGAGACTGAGGGTGATGCAGAGCTCTTTGCCAATCAGACGGAGCGACAGAAGCGCCTAATCCCCTACATGACCTTCTACATACCCACCAACAATGAGTACCATCAGCCACAAAATCAACAGCAGTACGCCCTGATGCCCGTGGTAACATCCCATCCATTCGCTGTCAATTAACCCTCTTTTGCCACCCCCTCATGAATTATATCATCCCGTTTCTCAAAACAGCCAAAACTCCAGCAGATGAAACACATTCTGGCAATCGTGAAGCAGCAGCCACAGGGACAATTGCTGGCCACGACGGGTCCCACGGGTGGTACAGCACCATCTCAACCGCATCGACCGATGCCGTTCAGTAATCCTCCGAAATATCATCAGAATTACCAGGAGCAGCGGCCGCAATTAACACTGCTCTACAACATTCGAAATCCATCATCGACGCCAAAACACCACCAACAACCGCATCAATATATGACCATGACCCACCAAAACTACCACAATTCCGAGGTAAAAGTGTCACAAATAAAATTGTCTCAAAATTCAATTGGAGTTGAAAATTTGAAATCATTCTTTTTCTCTATATCTCACCCCCCTCTTGTTTGATCCATTGCAGAATCATCCATTTATTCCACTACCACAGCAGCAGAAGACCAAAATTACACCATTTCTCCCATCAAATAAACTTCCTGGCTACTTTACGCCAATGCTTGGCAATCCACAAGGAAAGAATACGAAAAACTTCAACTCTGATCCAATTGTAACGTTCACTATGCAGCCACAATTGAATCAATTCCCCTCAACAACACTCAGGTAAGGTTGAGATGGTGAGCAAACACGTGTTTTTATGTGCTTGTGTGCTTCTCACGCGAGGACATATATATAAAAAAAGGGTGGTGGAGTTGAAATAAAAGCCCCTTCATCAATCTTTCACAGACCAATCTATGCTGGAGCCGATGAGCAGGAGCGCCAGAAGTACGTGACTTTCCTCTCGCCACATCAGAATCTCTACACCGTGATAAAATCCACTGCATCGCCCACACTCACGACACCGTCAATCAATTACGATGACGGCAATGATTTGGAGGCGAGAGATGGACCATATTCTCAGGAGCCACGAACCTCCACCTATCCCACCGAGTCGCCCATCGTGAAGCAGAATCTGCTGTACATATCGCAGAAGCCCAAGCAGCACCTTGTCACTCACAAGGGTAACTACGGTGGCTTCATACCCGTGAGCGTCAGCACAACAACACTCCGGCCACCCACCTCACCCACACCCGCCGCTGTCCACATTTTGACTGCTGGCGGAAAGACATTGCTGAAAAGCACCAAAGCCACTCTCATACACGAGCCACCATCAGCCCCATCAGGTCACGATTTATCGAGCACTCAAACACCACCGCGGCAGCATCTCACCGAGACCACTCAACTCCAGCAGCCGCCACACCTCACCACATACCATCCCACATTCATCCGCCACAAGTACCCAGAGCCCCACAAGATCTACGACTCCTACCACCAGGAGCAGTACATGCCCAGCTCGCCGGCCCCCCCGCGACTCCCCATTCGCACCACAGAGCGTCCCGTGATCACCAAGAGCGACTTCCAGTCCAAATCCCTGGGCGAGTTGCTCAAGAAGCTGCAAGACAGCAATCAATTGCCACAGACCCTCACGTCAGAGAACATTGATAATTCCATTCGGACACTCATAAAAATCCTCAACAACCTCAAGCAGGAGCAGAATGTGGCCGTGGAACCAGCACAGCATCAAACAGAAGACGATGATGAATATGAGGACGATTACAGTGAGGAGGCACGGCCTGAGGATGAGGAATTGGGTGAGTGCAGATTCTCATAAAAGCCAAAAAAAAAACTCCCAATGCAATTGCAATCTTCCCTTGCAGTCGGACCCAATTCAGGACGTCCGGGCATTGACTTTCCCAATCTCTCGGAGATTCCCCAGACAAGCTTCAGCTGCAAGGAGCAACGCTACAAGGGCTTCTTCGGTGATCCGGAAACCAATTGCCAAGTCTGGCACTATTGCGACCTCAACGGTGGACAAGCGTCTTTCCTCTGTCCCAACGGAACAATATTCAGTCAAGTACGTTCTGAAAATTGCCTTTATAAGAGCCATGAATTAATAAGTGATTTTTTTTATTCTCTTGTTGCGCCCCACTAAATAGGTCGCTCTCACGTGTGACTGGTGGTTCAATGTCAAGTGTTCAACAACAGCTCAACTCTATGTGCTGAATGAGCGGCTCTACAAGTACATTTTGCCATTTACACCCAAGTTCCCCGAAGACTACAGTGGGCCACTTGTTGATAAGTACGTGTAATTGCAATTATGTCAGATTGAGTGGAATTTATAGAGTTAATCCCGAATATTACACTTTCCGGGTGCAAAAATTACTCAACATATTCCATGTGGGGATAAATCATTCCTAAACACATTGTTTATCCACCTAATTAAACATCTGAATCTTTCCAACAAATCTCTTCGGAAATCTCCAATTGACAATTAGCCAAATTAGTCGAAATCAAATGAAAGTGTTGTGCCATTGAGGCAAAAATGTGCATTGAATTGTTTCCCTCTTGCAGATACTTGGCTATTAAATTCCAAGAAATGGAGGATAAAATGCGAAAGCAGAAGCAAAAGGGAAAACACGAGAGTGAACCAGATGCCGATTCAATAACGGGCGGTGAGGACTCAATGGATTCCGACACAGACACAGGAACTGTGGATACATCGGAAAATGAGACGGAGGATGAGGAGGCACACCAACCAATTCCATACACCAGCACAGTGATAGCGGCAAAACCCACCCCAGCCACAGTCACAATTATTCCCGCCCCCCACAAGATGCGCACCATCGTGGAGAGTGAGCGAGCCGAAGTGGTGGAAATCAAATCGGACGGCAATTCTGGCCATCTGCATCCCTCGCACGCCTATCAGTAGAATCCACCTCTCTCGTCCTAGTTGCTTAGAATCGCCCGAGAGACCGTCTGTCTCTCATTACCTAATTTATTGCTCTTTTTTTCGCCTTACCTTCCCTCTTTAGACATCATTAGACGATTTAGTTAATGGATAATTGCGTGAAATGGAGAGGAAGATGCATTTTTTTCCTCCAAGGCCGGCGGTGCATTAGAAGAAAAAAAAAAAGAAAATTCTTGCAATTCTAGTCAGAGTTTTTGGAAAAAAAGCAAGCGTGAGGTTTGAAAAAATGTTCTATGTAGAAGTGTAAGTGGTTCATCGTTTTGTATAATGTGAGAATTGTATTATTAATGTTTAGTCTCCCCCATCATTGCATCCCATCAAGAAAGTGTCTATAAGGCAAATATATTGAAATCTCTTTTCTACCATGAATTTTGCCACAATAAAATATCATACAAATAATCAAAATACAGTGTGTTTTGACTCACCTTGATGGACAATTCGTTGAGCTGCTCAAGCTGATTCAGCAGTGCAATGTACGCGGGGATTTCCTTCAGCGTGTTAACGTTCCTCTCGTAGAGATGCTTGATATCGTGAAGGAGGTGGGAATGGCATTTGCATTCACTGCAAATAGCCTTGTTGCAGGTCTCGCAGTAGAAGTTAACTTGCTGCCCGGGCGCACAATCGCAGGGCCCCGGAATGTGCTGGAACACTTTAGTGGTGGTGACTGAAGAGAGTCCTCAAACGAATGCTTAGTAAGTGAAATTTGAGTCGACTGAATTGAGTAGGCTGAAAAATATTACCGAGTTCGAGCGTCTGATGGGATCTGAGCACTTTGGAGAAGTGGTGAATCTTCTTGAAGCACTCATGACAGTACAGGGAGTCGCATTGGAGGCATCTGCGATCTGCCACGGGATTTGAGCACTCACCACAGAGCGAACTGGACGCCGAAGGGGCGTGAATGGTGTTCGCATTGTCACCAAACTGTGTAACATGCTTCACCAGTCCCAGAATGTAGAAGTTGCACTCGAATTGATCGCTGGTCTTCCTACAGAAATGAGAGAGAGATTGACTGTGGCCAACCGAAAGGGCATTTCCGGAGCATTGATAGAGTTATTAACATACTTCTTGTTTAGGGGAATGATTGCATCGCAAGTTGGGCACTTCATGAAGCGATTCGGTTTTGCCTGACACAGACATGTCTCGCAAATTGTGTGGTTACACAATAGCAACACTGGCAATCGCTGATTGTATCCTGCGAAATATCATACATGTCCGGACGTGTTAATCCGCAGAATTGACAAAAAATGCAACTCTCCCACTTACGCTCAGAGCTGCCGGGGAAGCTGTAGGTCTGCTGACAAATTTGGCACCTCGGCAGCATACGTGCCACCTTAATGTTGCTGTCCGAGCCAGAAAGGATAGCCGCGGAGGCAATAGAGTCATTGGAATTCTCCATCGCTTCCTGGGAAATCACTGAACGAGTGTGAAAAGTGCGGCGTTGCATCTTGTAAGTGGGGTTAGATGTCCCACTCATATGAATTCTTGGAAATCTCTTGAAAAACTTCTTACCTCTCCAATCCTTCAATGGCATTCGCAGAACTGATACTTTCTCTCGCTCTTGCACACGGAAAATGAGTTCTTACCTTCAATATTCACTGATTTTTCACGATAATAGAGAGAGCCTGAAACTCACAGCGCACAAAACCATGGGGAAAATTGGCCATGCTCTGCATTACCGACACGCGTTTATTTCATATTTAAAACTTACAGCAAACGGAAACTTGGAGTTTTGGGGGGATATTTTGCCTCAAAATTGCTAAAGATGAGTTAATCAGCCGAACATGGAATTGTGAAGACCCTCAAGCTCCTCCTCTCGCTCCTTCTGGCGCTGTAGGAATTTTTTCCGCTCCTCATACTCGGCATCGTCGGTTTTCAGCTCGTACCGACACAACGGACAGGAGTTGGTCTTGGAATGTCCAGGAGAAAGCGCATTAGTACCTATTCCAGGAAGTTGGAGACTACAGTTTGTTCTCACCTGATTCAGCCAGGGCAAGATGCAGGCCTGGTGGAATTCATGAGAGCAGGGCAGAACCTTGAAAATGTCCGGATGGTCAGAATTGGGCTTCAGACAGATGGCACAGCTCTCGTCCTCCGGCGTGGGCATTCTCTCCTGCAGATTTCTGACCACCTCCTTGGATGCCGGAGGCGCCAGTCTCCCACCCTGCAGCATCTCATCGGGGAAAAAGCCGTGATCCAGCAACGCACGCACCATCAGCATCGTCTGATGGCGCTGTGTCTGATCCAGCGCCACCGGCTCCCAGCCCATCTCCTCAAAGTAGTCCGCCATGCTGCAAGGAAGAGGAACAGACTCAAGGCTTTCTCTTCACATTTTATTTGCTCATCAAACTATGCCTAACATTCGTGATGCTTCCGTTCCGCCTGGAGCGCCAGGCTTCTCTTCTTATCGCCAGCCGCGCAATTGATGGTCTTGTGACTGATTCATGGGCTTGACAGCCGAGGAAGTCGTGTGATCGCAACTATTTAATTGCATTATTAATTGATGAATGAGTTTCTCACTCTTTGATCCCACCTCGAGGCCTGAGAGCGAGTCAGAATATTGTAGTCAGCCGAGTTGAAAAGGTTCTGGATTTAAGATGAAAAATCCCACCATTAAATCTGCTTCATTTTTTCTCACACATTCTCGCGTGTACAGCGAAATTGACGTAAGAGCGCTTCAGAGAGAAGATAATTGAATAGCAAATCAACTTAATCGATTATCTAGAAAATCCACTCAACTCTCGTCTCACAAATAATTGCTCAAGACATTTTTTGCTCTCACTGAGCGCACGAGCGCGAAAAATTCAGGTAATTCGAACTTATTATCACCTCACGTGCCCTTTTTCGCCTCGAGCCACATTTCGAGTGAATATTTGCTTGTCTGTAAATGCGCTTCAATTCAATTAGCCTCTCGCGGGAAAGTCCCCAAGTTTCAGCCATTTAGAGAAAATGCGGTGCTGATTAGAAGAATTTGGGATGGCGCACAAGGTCAACTGATAGCCCGCATGCTTGATATGGGAATTTGTGTAGAACTTTCTGGACAATATTTACACCCAAATTGACTTTAGAGCGCCGCGAGCAGAGAAATTTCTCTGCCAAACGCGCGCGCCTCCAGAATAAATTGATCAAATGACTTCGATTGGCCACAATTCATTTGATGGGCGACGCATTCTTTTTTTTCCAACTCCGCCGCCACCAAAGAAGTCATGTTGACGGCAAAATCGATGAATATTAATTACAATGGGGTCGATTTTATGTCCCCCCACAACGACTTCCACACCCAAGCATGTGCTCACAAGACCATAAATTTGCTAGGCAAATAAATACAAGAACATCGCCGTTCTTTCTTCTCTCATCTCAAAAATTGATTTTGCAAAATAATATCAAACACATCTTAATAAACATAACAATTTTTCTCCTTCACTTCACACACACACACACACACTTTTTCCCTCGTCAACTTCCAGCTCACAGAAAATTGCTGAATCGTCTACCAAGGCAAAAAGGTGGAATATATCGTCAAAGAGCAGAGACAAAAAAACTCATTTTTTTAATGCTGTCTGCAAGTAAATTAAAATAACATTCGTGTTGAGTTCCAATAAGGCCATTCATCACGTTCTGTGAGTGAAGAGACAAATCTTTCTTGCGCCTCCTAAACTTTCATGTGAAAATTGTAATTAAATATTTATGTTAATTGGCAATCATTTCAATGCTTGAAAACCCGCCTCGACAGAATCTCATTCTTGGGCGCGTTTGCAAAAATAATATAATTTATCGCAAAATTCATTCTCATTTCGATAAACATTTTGGCAAATTTTCATCCCTGTTGATTTACTGTCTCGCCACACTCTTACAAATCATTTCTTCTTTTTTTTGTATTCTTCTGCTGATTCTACGCCACACTTTGATAATTCTGACTCTCTTTTTCCTTACTTAATGTCGAAAAAAAATATAAAATCTGCAAAAACACATTTTTATTTGGGAGAAATTTCAAGAAAAAAAACACTGCAGAGAATCTTTACAGAATTGTAAATTGTTTTGGAATGCGATTCAGCACGAATCTAAGACAGTTAATCTCTCTCTCTCTCTCTCTCTTCAGGACTTTTTCTCACCACTTCCTCAATATTTGTAAAATGACTGTCCAACAAATTTGCCCAGTGATAAAGAGATTGAAGCGAGAATATCATATACTTGAAAGTGTATTTAATATTTTGATATATTTTTCTTGCGCTCACTACGATTATATGGGACTAAAAACCTCTCTGTTTCAATATAAATTTTCTATAAATAAACGGCTCTTATATGACATTGCACTCATTCTATAATATACAATTTAAATATTAAGCCGACGTCACATTCGCGTATTTCTCACTTATCTTTGCCACCTCGCTCTCACTCTGTGCAAATAGACACAGATGGTGTGTATTTAGATGCTCCACGAGACGTGCCTCAAGTACATTGCATTGCAAATCCACTCTGCAATCGATTTAACATGCGTCTCTTGTCCTCTCCATTCACTACATCATCTTATTCCAGGTTAAGAATAACTACTAATCAACTTCTTTTTGCCTCTGCCTCTCTTCTCAACCTTGCTTTTTCCTCAGCTCTATCGCTCACTCTTTTTTTGCTCTCCTCTCTATCTCTTACTCTCTACACTGTGCAGTACAAAAATACACTTTGGATTTTCCCTCAGCATTCGCTCTGATTTCTCCTACACGGTTTCCGTTGAACTTGAAGCCGAACATGAGTCAAATGGCCAAAAGCTCAGTCGGGATTATAAATACACAATTGGTTTTTTTTTATTACTTATTTTGGGAGACATAGACTCTATTTTTTCCAGTGTTTCGGGGCCCATCCGTGAAAAGAGGCACACGCAATTCGTCAACTATGTTGAATATTATTTTATTTCTATATACTTATTAGTCCGTGACGGAAATCTGGGCATAGCCGATCAGGGACTTCTCGTCGGGCACCTCACTAGACCCATAGCCCGAGTTGAGGAGGAAGGTGACACTATTCGTCTGCTGACGACTGTCGATCAGCTTCTGCAGATTCGCCGCCATCACCACAATATCCCTGCTATCCACCAGGCCAGCGCCCACCAGCTCCGTCGCGATGCCCTCAGCCGAATCCTTTCCCACCGCGAACTCGAAGCGGATGTCGTTCAGCTCGCGATTGGGATTGCGCATCCGCAGCACCAAGTTCACGGGCGGCAAGTCGTCCAGTGGCGGCTCGGTGCGCTGCGACGTCTCGGACACCTCCTCGTGCTCGCTGTCAGAGGAGTCCACCAGCTCCAGACGATTCATGGGCCGATCCTCGTCCTCCGAGTCGCTGAACTGCTTGCTACTCGATCCACCGTTGTCCTCCTCCTCGCTGGACCACACCCACTCACCCGTCAGAGTCCGATGGAGACGACCCGACGTGCCGGGCTGCCGCTTGGCCGCCTTAATCACCCGCGTCTCCATGCTCGGCCCATTCGCGAGTAGGGTCTGGGTCAGGTACTTGCGGTCCTTGGCCTTCTTGAAGAACGGATGCTTGAGCAGCTCACTGGCCGTGGGCCGTTTCGACGGCTCCTTCTGCAGGCACTCCACGATCATCTTCCGGAAGGTCTTACCGTACGCCTTGTACTGATCCTTCTCGTCAGCGCCCGTGTCCAGCGTGGGCGGATCGTTCTGCAGCGTCAGCATCAGCACCTTCATGGGCGGGTACTTGTGATACGGCGCCGTGCCCGTGGCCATTTCAATGGCTGTGATGCCGAACGACCAGATGTCCGCCTTGAAGTCGTACCCGTGATCTTGCTCCATGACCTCGGGCGCCATCCAGCAGGGCGTGCCCACGAAAGTGTGGCGCACTTTCTGGCGCGACATATCTCTGCCCGTGGCCAGCCAGGCGCTCACCCCAAAGTCCGCGATCTGCACCGTCCCGTCGTCGCCCATGAGGATATTGCCGGCCTTGATGTCGCGGTGGATTTGGCCGTTGCTGTGGAAGTACTCCAGGCCCTTGAGCACCTCCTTCAGGACCGTGGCGATGGTGGCCTCGTCGAAGACGCCGTGGCGACAGTTGGTCGTCTTCATCTTGTGCTTGATGATGTCCAGCAAGCTGCCGCCCTCCAGCAGCCGCAGCACCAGCCACAACTCCTCGCGCACCACGAAGGACGTGTGGTACGTGACGACGTTCTCGTGATTGCAGCTCGACATGGCCTGAATCTCCTTCAGCAGCTCATCCATCGACGTGTTCCACTTCTCCAGGTTGATGCGCTTGATAGCGCACTTCTCGTTTCGGGGCACGCAGAAGGCGCCGTGCACGACGGCCGTGGCCCCCACTCCGATCACCTCCTTCAACTCGTAGTCATCCTTGCTGTTCGGCCAGCCCACAGTGGCCCCAGTGGACGCATTCAGGGATGCCGAGGACTGCACAGTGGGCAGCGGGGGCGCCGCCAGCTGGGCCGACGAGGCGGACGGGTTGGGAGCCCCTCCTGTGGACATTTCGCACTTTTCACTCTCAACACACACTCTACCCGTGAACTGCGACAACTCTCTCTCGGGTCACGCCACCAGAGCTACTTTCTCGCGTGCGATTTCTCCACCACTCGTGTGATATAACAGCGATAAAAATTGGGATCTTCTCAATTGCACACACTCCACAACTCATCTGACGTTTTAATTTTCATGCGACATAACCTCACTCGCGCTCACCTCCGGACACCCACTTTCCAGACACCACAATCTCCACAGTGACACAATTACCTGCCTATGATATCACCCACGCTGCTTATCGCGACACTTGGAGGGCAATTTACGTGAAATTCACTCCGATTGCAAAGCAATGTACACAAACACGGCCCCAATGGATTCACAGCAATGCTGTCAGTCGGGTAGGCGTTGTTGGGCGACGACTCGATTTGAACGCTGCGGCCGTTGGAATGGGGATTTCCCCAACCCACGATAATTTCACGCAAAATACTCAAAATCCGCTTCGCAATTGCATTGAATTTCGGCGCAATGGGAAGAGGCGTCGCGGGAAATATTTTTTTGCATATTATTTAGCTCTATCATCATTTTACCTTACATGTCCTATACGCATTGTATGTAAGGTGTGTAAGGCCTGACACGTTGTATGCAAGGATTTAAATTAATTATGAAATTGAACAGATATTTTATAAATGTGTAATAATATTGACATAAAATTCAATTTAAGTTGATGGTCGAAACCTTCACCAGACTGCAATGGGTGTTTGCTTGACAAATTATCCACCTTACCTCATGAACAATACAAGCTCTAAATCGCCCTATTGATTTTTGTCACACTTTTTGCTGTAATTATCAGGCGAGCCCATCTATGGCCAATCGATTGGCAATTTGGGGCACATTTTTCATCGACTACCCGCGGGAGAGAAGCGTGGAAATGCGAGGGCGGGTCATGAGTGAGTGATGACTGTTGAGAATGTGAACGTGTTTGCCTGGCAATGTCGCATAAATTGATGCAAAATGCACAGTAAGTGGTTATTTTCGATCAATTTTATGCATTCTTGCACGATTGGCATGACGGGAATTCCAGAAGCAACATATTTTCCACATCTGTTACATCTTTTCCTCTCCACCATCCGTTCAATTGATCAATTTCCGACATAGGGCGATGGTCAATAGATGCACAAGGTGTTTCACAAATACATGTGCGAGCTTTTCTCCATGTGAAAATGACGCTGTCGTCGGGAAATACAGCAATATCAAGGTCAAGGACAACTCCCTGCGCCCAACCCTTCACAATTCAGCGAACGAGAGTCTGAGTTTGTGTGGGTTTTCGCACAACTACCAGCGAAGGCGTGTAAATGGAGACGCCTGGTGGGTGGATTGCAGTCCCTTGATATGTTAAATCCTCTTCACGAGTTCAGGGATGACATAAAAGAGCTCCGGAACACCTCAGAGCGACAGACAAATCAAGTAGCGAGAGGATTTCGGAGAGAATCTTCCAAGGATAATCGTGAAAAAGGGTGGGGAAGTGCATTTGTGGTGATGCAACAGCGAAAGAGCGCATGTAAGTTACAACTACAGCCTCGCACCAAAAATGACTCTTCTCCAATTTCCATGACCGCGCTGGGATGGTCCGCCACTTCCGGAGGGAGAGACGAGGCCTCTCCCAACTGAGTCCTGATTTTCCGCCCATACAAGCACGCCAACCACCCGCCGACACGGCCAAACAAACACACAGATATGGCTGAAGTGCCAATAACTTAATGTGGACTTGTGTTTGGTAACAACATTACGTAACAAACACCCCGAAGCCATCCACTTTTTACCGCCCGCTGTGGCTTTTTTTTGCACTTGAACTCTCCTTCGGCAAACCATCAGACGTCACATTTCAGAAGTTGAATTACACGATGATATGTAATCAATTGATTTGTCATGAGATGTTATTGCAAAGTTAAGAGTTGGCAATAATATTTTGAGACGAAACAGTAAATGGGAGTTTTCCCATGACGGTTAGACAGTCTGTGGTTATAGAAAAGTCCATCTCAATATGCATTTTGTAATTTGTATCAGAATCGAGGGTTGTGTTTGACGCCCGAGGGGTTTCTGCCAATGCTCCATGATAAGTCCGGCTGAGGTCATGTTTATTCAAATGAATCCGCTTCGTCCAGCAGAGCACGAAGGGTTTTGAATTGATTTTCATTAACTTTGGTCCATCGGTGGCGCTTAAGATACATTGCTGAGTCACTTGTGTTGAGTTTCTTTGATATGCGTAAAAGTTGTTCAAATAATTCACTTCGTGTTTCATGAATGTTTTATTCCTTTTCTTGGACAGAGTGTGGAAAAAACGAACTTTGCAGCACTTGATTGGAGTATAACTTCCTCTCAGCATCATCTCTCAGCACCACAGAAAGACATGGAGATTTATGAGTGTAAAATTTCTTACAGCGCTCACTTTTTTTCCCTCCAGATCATTATTCTCTTCAACTCCAATTATTCCTCTGTCATTTGTTTGTACTTTCCTTTTCAATTGCACTTCCTGCAGCGCGTTTTTGCCATGGAAATGACTGTAAAAGTTGTGAAGATGTGACTGAGATGAGTTTTGTTGAATTCCACCCTGGGTGTAAAGTATGGCGTGAGAATTATTGGTAAAAGTTATACAAGCGAAAAATAATTTATCATTGCTGTAACGAATTATAAGTCCAGACGTCCAGACACAGACAATTTTTCAGCAACTCGCAACCTGCGGAGATATTGGCACCTGAACAATGGTCCTTGGATGTGCGGTAATTCAATGAAAATCCCCCCGGCTTTCCTCGCATTGATTGAGTGAATTTTGGTCAATGGAAATTTGCTGGGGGCGACGGTGCAGCACAAATGCACCCTTTTTGTGGTTTCGGTCGGAAATAATTCCTTGCCTCTATGCCTCTTTTACCATACCACTTTTATGCATCATTGGCATCATTGGGGGAGTTTTGGAATAGTCTCTGTGCCAGAGGAAAAAAAATCATGGGCTCTGTTAGTTGTTTACATGATGCTCTGTCTGGCTTTTTTCCGCTCGCTTTGGCCGTAAAAGAGATACACCAGAATAAACGGTGTAAAGTTTTGCGGGCATGTCTTGTGTGAAGCCATATGTTGAAAGTTTTTCTTTACTATTTCCCACGGAAACCTATGATTTTACTACAAATCTGTTACATATTCAGGGCGGGTCAGAAGTTTGGAAAAGTTCTTTTTTCTCTCCTAATCTATTTACAAGTTTTTGCACACTTGTTAATATAGTGCGAGGATATGATAAGAACACAGTATCTAAAACTGTGAAATTTAAAGCAATTATGTGTGAAATATTAAATTTCAACTATGTTACGTAATATATTTCGACGGAAAATCATCGCCAGCTTTTATGAACGCAGTTTAGATAAACTGAATATACATTGCAGATTTCCAAACTTATTCAATGAAATAGTTTGAAAAATTGAAGGAAAAATTGATGGTGGTTTGATCGCTGTCTAGCAAATGCATTATTGCTCAAAACGGGTTTAACTCTGAACCTGGGAAATGTTGCATTTGCGACAATAAATTGAATTGGCCACATGGGAAAATTGATTAGTAATTGAGGGTGATGATCAAATTTCCCGAAACATCCCATTCCTGCGGGCGATCTGAGGGTTTTGCGTCATGTGTAAAGTGTTCTTGGTGGGTGGCAACGAGGTGGAAATGAAATGCCTCAATATGTGGTGTGTGTGTAACACAAAATGCATATTTTGTGGGTTGAGAAATTGAGGATCAATGGGGAACACATGTTTTATTCCAGACGTGCTCTCGCTGTATTATCATTTTAAATCTGCCCTCCATCTCCCACATCTCTCTCTCTCTCTCAGTGATCCGTGTAAGAGTAGCAATGGGATAATGCCACAGGATACCGAGTGGTAGCATTTTGCGCTGCATTTTACATGTGGCTCTACAAGCATCTCAAAGAAATATAACGAGGTGCATGAGAATAGCGGATAAGAACGGCTGAATTGTTTGCAAAATGAATAATTTATACCTAATGGCGGGGTGGGATGGGGGGTTGCTGAAAAATTTGATGAGGTGCAATTTTTAGATTACGAAATGCCCAATTCTGATTGGTGGCAAAGGGCACGTGGCGCACTATAAAAGATTTCAACTATAAAACTTTCCCGGTGTGTTTTTCCCATTTCTCCCCATCTTAGGGCACTTTCCGCAAATTAAGTTCTTTCGCATAAATCTTACCTGCTTTTTGTATTCGGCGAGAATTTTCTACATCCAAATAAATCCACCGAATTGACTTCCATTCTCAGTATAAGTCTCTAAATCAGTATGCAGATGCTGCCTTGGCCACTATTTGAAAAATTGTAATTCAACTTTAACAAATGTCTCTATTTCTCATGAGATTTTAACCTCAATTCAGGGCAGCACAGAGGGAAGATTTTCATGTACATGTTGAACATTTGGGGATATTTTTCAAAACTACAATCAATCATTCACCTATCAAAGTAGAATTAATCATTGAGTTTGCCTTTGGGATCGCCTTGGCATCTGAGAGAAAAATCCCAAAGTTTTCTTGCTTCACCTAAAAATTATAAATTCTCTGGTCAATTTGTTGAATTGCCAAGACATTGAATGTATTTTCTCTTACACCGTTTTCCTGTGAATTCACTTGATTGTACTATATAGAGAATGAGAGAATATCAATCTAATGGACTTGTTTATTCAGCATTTCGTATTTTTCTCAGCTGGGGGGATGAAAACAGAGAAATTAGGTGATATGTCTTCCCAGGATAGATTGCTTCAACGTATTCCAGGGTTTCTTGGCAGGAAATTAGGCTGTGAACTAGCGAGAAAATGACTCAAACCACTCTAATTGAGGGAAATTGCTCCACTATTCAAACTTACATCTCATCTACCAGATTGTCACTGAAGAACAAGAGTCCGGCGATCAGCGATGTCATTAAGAAAAAAAAAAAACGTAGCCACTCCCGTCAGTCCTTAAAAGGAAGCCAGGCAATATCATGATGATGATTCTCACTACCCACGAATTGGGAAGATGCTTGAGGCTGGGAATGGAGCTCCATTTGCACATACAATAATACATAAAAAGATGGCACATGGAGGAGCTCGTGCAGCATCTGGATCTGTATTGGTTTGCTGTACGAGGTGCTGTGTTGAGGAAATGCACAAAACACAGCAATCAAACTAACTCTCCCCCTTGAGGGTTTCTTAAACAAATTGAATTTCACTATTTCAACCCCACATCCAGACTGCAGTGTGCTGAAGGGAAAGGATTTCTTTCTGTGCACCTTGGAGAAAATGTTACCCCAACCGTGGGGAATACATGGTGGAAAATTTTAGCAAATGCAGCAGGAGACCTCAACATGTGTGCAGTGGATAATCTTGTATGAAATCTCCAAACAACCCCCCCAACCTTTTCACACTGAAGGAAATTGCGTACAGAAAGATGATTTTATTCCTCCTCTTTGAGTTATATTTGTACATTATAATATTTTCCTGGAGTTTTCTGTTTGCCAAGAGTCAGAAAAATCTCAATTTTTCTAATTAACCTAAAATTAGTTATGAAATGAAGAGAAAATTGCTCATTAATTTTTCCTACAATAGCGACTTAGATTTTCTTTTATTCGAATAAATATTCATACAAGAATTTCAAATTAACCATTTTCCTTTAAGTGATTGAATTTGAGGCGAATGCTGTAGTTAATAGAATACTCAGATGACCAGCAATTAATTAGAAATCGCTCATTTCTTCTCGTTATTCTTTTCAAGAAAGCCATTTGCAGCTGTCGCACCTTCGTCAGGTTATTTGCATATATTTATTTTGTTGCGATTGGTAGACGCTTTACCCTGAATACAAATGCTGTTCGCAACTAGTCTTCCCTTTCTTGAAACTCAGTCTATAGGATATTCAATTAAATAAGATTTTGCGAGAGAAGCATTCTGGTTTACATTGCCAGCTCGCAAATTAAGTTCGGACATGATTTCAAACTCGGAGGTTTCTCTATATTGATCACTATTAGTCAAAGCTTAGTGCCAAAATCGTGTCGATTGCATTATCAAATTTGTAATCCGGTCATTACTGCAAATGCAGTCTTTCGCACTTTAATTATATCTAAAGTGATAGCTTTTGACGCCTATTTTAATTAATTAATTACCACTTCATGGGAATTAATTGAAGTACCGGGAACAATTGAGAGATAATTTGAAAATTTATCAACAATGAGAAGATTTTACCCCAAAATCTGGCACTTTCGACCACACAATAAAATGTAACAATCACTCAAAATACATCCATTGACAGGCAGGGGGTGATTAAAATAAATCTCACACACTCTGACAGACTAAAATGCATTGGATTTAAACTAATTCTGCACAAATCAATAGAAATACTGAAAATTCTAGAGGCTTGTGATGAGTAAAAAGAGCTCTATTGTGGGTTCTTTTTCATCCGTTGGATTTTCACTTGATTATTATCATTACATTTCAAAATGAATTGTTTTTTTAAGCAAAATAATATTATCTTTCCATTCTATTGAA